ACATCTTGCAGTCACACGCCGACCCGGCTATGCGTCGCATACCTTGGATCCCGTGTGCAGCACATTGCTTGAGCTTGCTGCTGAGGGACATTGTGTCGCAGCCTTGCGCGGCCACTGTCATGAAGAAGGCGCACAAGTTAGTCAAGTTCATGCGCAACAAACAGCGAGCCCTAGCACTTCACAAGGCCATCACAAGGCCATGAGGACGCGCTAGTACTGAAGCGACCAGCGGAGACGCGATTTGGGACAACGTTCATGATGCTAGAGAGGCTATATGAGCAGAGGGGTGTGTTAGACAAGCTTGCGTCAGGGGAGTTGTGGGCGCAGGTGCTGTGGACTGGGGATGCGAGGAGGGATGAACCCGAGGTGCGCAGGATGTGCAGAGACGAGTCTTGGTGGGAGAGGGTGAAGATGGTCGTGGACGTCATGGCCCCGTGCTACAGGTTCCTCAGGGATATGGACAGGGATGGGTCATCACCCACAGGATTGTGGGATTTGGAGAGCATATTGCGGGGGAGAGTCAGGGGCCTTGGACTGACAGAGGATGAGAGCAGGGCGATCATGGATATCATATCCGACAGATGCAGGATGATGCGTCAGCCTGCCCATGCGGCTGCATATCTGTTGGATCCTCGCCGTCGTGATATCTCATTGTTCACGGACCGCAGCAGCCCAGTCGTGCAGAGCGCGCTAGACCATTTGGCTCGCTGTCAGGGTGCAAGTTGGGAGTCTGATTCTTTGCATAAGCTTTGGCAGGCATTGTGGACTTTCCATTGCCAGGACCCTCGCTATTGGCCGAAGAGTGGAGCGCACTGGTGGGATGAGTTTGAGGTGAAGGACGCGACGGAGGGGGGGATGCATGCAGCGATGTGGTGGGAGCTGCAAGGTGGTCAGGAGCCGAGACTGCAGACGATTGCGAAGAGGGTTTTGGGTATGTGGTCCACGGCCAGTCCTTGCGAGAGGAACTGGTCCACCCACGATTTCATCCACACGAAGAGGAGGAACCGCCTTTCTGCAGAGAGTGTCGAGAAGCTGATTTTCATTCACTGGAACTTGCAGCTCCTCAGTGCCAGCAGGAGGATGGACAGGCGGTACATTGATGTGTGGGAGGACCAGGTGGAGGACCCCATGGAGGAGATCGATGGTGACGACAGTGTCCCCGCAGAGGTGCCAGACGAGAAGTGGGAGGAGATCGACAGGAGGAACAGGAGGAAGGAGGGCCGTAATCGATTTGGGAAGGGGAAGGCACCGATGGAGGATGAGGATGAGGATGAGGCCCTTTGGCAGGATGCGGTGTGGATGCACAGAGAGATGATGGAGGCGCAGCAGGAGCGGAGAGACGCAGGCCGTACGTTGCCTGAGGACCAGCATGACTTATTGGACGAGTGGGGTGGAGCGGACCCTCACAACGATTTCGACGCCTACATCGGGCAGAGTGTGGATACCGTGAGGAGTCTACGGGGGAGGGTTGGGAGTCGGCTAGATTTGGAGGAGCTTTTGACCGGGGATGGCGAGGCAAGCGGCACAGAGGTAGGGCAGGAGGAGGAGAGAGGTCAGCACATTCCACATTCGTCGATTGCCGGAGAGGGAGGACATATTTGGGGCGTTCCAGTTGATGCACGTACGTCGGCTCCTGCAGCACCCCATCACGCTGCTGAGAGGATTCTGCGAGGGGCAGAGGAGAAGATGATTCGGAGGGAGGGTCATCATGCGTATGAGAGGCTGGAGGACACACACCACGTGCGCCAGGTTGCTGAGAAGGTTGTACATCGAGGCGGCGGTTCACAGAGCATCACTCAGTCGGTTGTCCAGAGGGTTGCGCTATGTGGCGGGGATGGTGATGGACTGGTGGCGGGCGGAGGCGGAGAGCGTAGGGTCAGTGACGTCATTCGTCCTACAGTGGTTCAGACCTCGGAGCAGAGGATTGGTTGTGCTTCCTCAACGCACGTGAGCCAGAGGGTGGATGACAGGGCAGACCCATTACCAGTGTCTGTCGCAGAGCTTGGTGCGGAGCAGAGGGTGGAGCAGAGGGTAGATGAGATGGTGCAGGACAGGGCGGAGCAGAGGGCTGACCAGAGGATTGAACACCGGAGAGAGTGGAGGGATGGACACAGCTTGGAGGTTCAGGTGGACGTTACCATGGACGAGAGCGTTGTTCGACGGATGGAGGACAGGGGTAGCGAGAGGAGGGGTGTAGCATCTACACGCGAGAGTATGATCCAGAGTGAGGGTGCTCAGGTTGCTACAGAGGGGGCGGGGCGGGAGGGAGAGTGATGTTAGACTGCTGACTGCCTCATTCTATGGGATTCCGCCTATGCCCACACACGGCACACCATCACCCGATGCAGCAAGTGTTCATCTTCTCGGCAGATCGACGACAGTTGGACGTCATGGTGGTGGCACTTCATCTCCCGCAGTGTCCCCTGGCAGTTCCCTACACCACCCCCCATCGGTGACTTTACGACGCYCGGCTGCRCACGCGAGTCGAGCATCCACTTCGTCAGCGGCGGCTGCCCCTCCTGTGCGTAGTCCATTAGGCATGCCACCGCTCCCTGCACGACTTCCATCAGCCATTGTTGATAATGTGAAGACAAGTCGTGCAGGCAAGAAGAGGAGGATGGAGGATGACGGAGGCGCATTACCACCTCCTCCACGATCGCAGGGTGGCACAGGCAGACCTCGTGGTCGCCCGCGTGGCTCAGGATCAAGCAGGGGTCGAGGCAGGGGTCGTGATTCATAGGCGATGAGTGCATTGGGGGCAGACGACGCGGGTGAGGACAATGTTGGGCAGGGCACCACTACATGCACTGATGTGATAGTGGGTGTTCGCACGAGGTCTCAGGCCTCGAGTGGAGTTCGCAGTACGACATCCACTCGTATCATTAACGACGATTCAGATGTCGCCTCAAGTGATGGCCTTTCTGGTAGTGACAACGTGGATGAGAGGGATAGTGAGACTCGTGCCCGGGAAGAGGACCAGAGTGGACATGACGATAGCTTAGATGGTAATGGGCACGAGGAGGACTAGAGGGATATTCACTACTGAGCTGAGGGATGTGTTCTGTCATCGATGGTTGTAGCATGAAACTTGGGCTTTAATGTTTCAATTTCGTGTATCTGTAACTGACATTGATGACCTTGTCTTCATACGATGCGTGCACTGTTGGCCTGTCATCGAGTCAATATCTCGTGTATGTGTGTGTGAAATTGCTAGTCAGTCAATTGGTTTAGCCCCTAGGGTAAGGTCATCGTCACTCTTTATGTGTGTGTGTGTGTGTGTGTCTGTGTGTGTGTGTGTGTGTGTGCATGCATGTCACAGTGTGTGTGTGTGTGTGTGCGCATAGATGTCGTTGTGTATGTGTGTGTGTGTATGTGTGTGTGTGTATGTGTGTGTGTGTTGTACTGCACAGTTATGTTGTACATGCATGTTAGTGTGAGGATTGCTAATGTACTGGGTTAAGGCCCCCAGCAAGCCTAGTGCCCGCCCTAAGTGAAGGCGGGCCTGTAAATGCTTAGAAGGCCCTGCATTCGACATTTCATTAAGTGGGGGCTATACAGTTTCAGCATGCTAGCTGGTTGGGTGCACGCCAGTTGGTTGGATGCACGAAGTCCAGAATTCTGCAAACGCAGGTTGGATGCCGAATTTGCCAAAGGGAAACCGGTCCACTGTCTGAATCTGGACGATGATCAGGATGAAAGAGGCACAACTGTGCAGCCTGGGCCCTTAACTGTACTGCGCCTGGGCAGAGCAACTGGGACCCAGGCCCACGCCACCTGCTTTTGCTTTGTCTACATGGACTTCAGTGTGATTTGCAGTTTGGATTTCTGATCTTCATCCACATTCATGTTCCTTGCATCAGTGGGAGATCCCCCAAAAAGTGGCAAAATGCCAAAAACATTTTTTTTTCCAAAAATGTTCCAAATAACCCAATTATTTTTTTGGAGGGATCTCCTAGTCTTGCGCAATAACACCCCATTTTTTTTTATTTTTATTTTTTTTAATGCCAAAAACCACTTGTCTGGGATCGCGGACAACTCCCATACCGGACGGTTGCGGGAGACATCCGGGAGAGACGTCCAGCCCCCGGACCATTGGTAACCTAGATTAAAAAAATAATAATAATCAATAGTTTTTTTGATAGTATTAAAATACTATATAATTAAGTATAAAATAATTTTTTATATCGGCTACCATCCAGGTCGCCCAGGTCACCCTATTTTCCGGGGCGGCCCGGCCGTGAAACGAGTAGGGAAGGTCCCAGCCAAAAAAAAAAAAAAAAAAAACTCTCAAAAATCGGAAAAACAAATTGTGTTTTGAAGAAAAATAGATTGAGCGAGTTTTGCCTCAAGAACACATCGAAATTCTGTACCAAATAAATAAATATATATATATATATACAGGGTCACCAGCCCGTATGTACAGAGGTCCCTGGGCAGACCTCCGTACGTACGGGCGTTCGGGGTCCCGTACGGGGTCCTAACCCGACGGCGTTCGCCCCCCGCCAAAACATATTTCTAGGCCTAAAAATAATTTCTGAATTGTTTTCTGTCAGTTCTCTATGACTTGAGGTACATGCCTGTAAATTTTCAAGTCATTTGGCAAAGCCAAATAAGAATTAAAAATCGCCAAAGATGCCCTAGTCAAAACGTGCTCACCCATGTATTTTTTCACTTTTTACTTTTTACTTTTTTCTTTAGTTCGGGGTCTAAACAATTTTATTATTTTTTGAAACTTTTTTAGTGGTATGTGTATTATGTGAAGTGCACATCTGTAAATTTTCAGGGCATTTAGCTATGCCAAAAACAAATGAAAAATCACCAACGATGGTGGTGTCGAAAATATGCTTGCGCACTCACTAAATTTAATTCTCTTTTTATTTTTATTTATTTTTATTATTAGTATTTATTTTTCGTATTTTATTTTTATTTCTAATTTGGTAAGGAATTCGGATGTAATGCTCAGGCAAATCTTTTTTAATTTATTGTTTTCCATAACATATCTTTTTTTCAGATTGTTTTGATTACTGTTTTTTTTTTTTTTTTTTTTTTTTTTGGTCCGCGTTCGGCCCGAACGGCCGAACGCATCCCCAAGGGGTCCCATACGTTTGGGCGTTTGGGTTCGGGCGTTCGGCCCGTCCCGAACGCTGGTTACCCTATATATATGTGACGATATATATGAGTCGGTGAAACTCCGACGAAACAGTTTGTCACAGCCCCTCGTTTGTTGTCCTCTTCTCTCTCTCTGCCTATGGTTTACTGGGCAGTTCTGTTTATGACGATATATATATATATATATACATATATATATATATATACATATATATATATATTATATATATATATTAGTTTTTTATTTTGTTATTTCTTTTTGGTCCGGTCAGGCAAGTGGACCCGGGCTACTCTGGTAGCCTAGTTTTTTATACTAAAATTTTAAAAAATAAAATAAAAACTATAATAATAATAAAAAATGAATAGCAATACACTATTTTCTACAGATTGGCATATAAATGATTGACAAAATATTCGTTCGCCACAACGAGGGTTACCATCAGTCGATAGCACAGCAAGAACCCAACCACAACTTCTGCAATGCAAAAAAACCACCCAGGGAATTATACACCAACTTCTAGGAAAAAACATAAAATATATGAGACTCACACTCCGACACAAACTCGTACGCACACACCATAAGCTTTTTTTTTTTTCTTTCTTTCCTTGGTTGTCGGGCACACTAAAATATTTTTTGCAGTCCCCTTGCATAAGCATACCAAAAAAACGAGGAAGCACAGATGATGACGGGCTTACAAAGGACAAATGGCAAGTCTCTTTCAAGAACACCCTGCAGAAAATGTATTTTTGATAGACAAAAACTCGTGGTACACTTCCAAGCAGATTGGCACGATAGAACAAGATAAATCACATCGTGAAAAATACGTTATAAACATGAGCAAGTGCTAAATCCATTAATATACTAATGAGACTACAATTGCTCCGCTACTGTGTAAGCATTCCACAAAAAAACGAACAAAAAAAAAAAAAAAAAAAAAAAAAAACCAAGAGATGCATATGATGACAAAATGATAAACACAAGCGACAAAACCTCTTTAGAAACACCCCTTACAAATAATTTCAGAAAGATAAAAACTCTTGAGACACTTCCAAGTAGATTGGCACGACAGATCATGACAAATTACATGACGGAATATGTGCCATAACGTGCATAGTCCATAGCTACCAAAAGACTAATTATCTGCAATTCCTGCCAAATCACGGCCTACTGCCGAACTCTAAACTACACACAGGGAACCGCTACGCACACCATAACCCATACAAAGGTACGTGTAGATACAGACCACCCGACCTCAATAGCCACGACTGAAAACGTTCTTCCTTCCCTCCACCTTGCATGACAAGAAACCCCTCTTCCCTCTAAAAAATCAAAGCAACCCCACCAAAAACAGACTCAAAATACGCCTTCCTTATTACCCCTTCCATCGCCCTACTTCCATGATGCGTCCTCACGCAACTATATATAATGGAGCTAGCCTACATCGCTATCAACCGTAACACTACATGTGACCACATCGGTGATACGGGACTTCCCCTCTCTTGCTTACTATGCACGCAAGGCACGCAATCTATATATATCCCATCTTATTCCCCTCTCCACCAAGACACGGGAGCTTCTTCATACTCGTGCAAACGAACAAACACTCCACAATTAAACGTGGGTGATTTCGCACCTAACACACACTCTCGTAGAAGTGCCGCGAGTGCTAATTGTTGCAGGAGTTGTTTCTACAAGACAGTCAAGTGCCAATGGCTTCACTCGGGGATGACACATCCTCTCAAACGTTCCACCTTCAGGTAAGACGATAACTACCTTTGAGTGTCTGTAACATCGTACACCCTAACTCTATACCCTTCTATGATATAGTCTAATGGGAGACCATAACTTGACCCTCTAATGAGCTGCTATGGGTGCTAGGCAGCGAAAAACGCGCTTCAAGGTGTGCACCCTCCCTATGGCTGTCTCCGACAACCATCTCTAACATCAGCCTAACCTCTAATTTGCTCCCCCCTGATCACTCCTTCATGCATCCTTCTATGGAGTTGATGACCATACTAAAATTCTTCTTCTAACCCATGCGATGTTAAGCCTGCTATCTACCTTGTGCGATGCCACGTTTGAAAGGATTCATGGTCTGGTTCCTCATTGAATATGGGGTAGCCGTGTTTTACACACCCACTACACACGCACACACAGACACAGACACATCACACACATATGCACACGCGCACACCCACACACACAAGCACACACACACACATACACCCATGTACGCACACTAACACACACACACACACATATACACACATTCACACACACATGCACACACACACACACACACACACACACACACACACACATACACACACACACACACACATGCACAAACAAATTAACACGTTCGTTTTTTTCTTTCCTTCTGATCATCA